CCATCAAACTCTGGAACACCTTGGGTGTCTGCAAGTACACTGTGCAAGTAAGCCTCTTCTTCCAGATCTTGGATTGGATGCCCTTAAAGCTCAGTTAACGTGACAGTCTTTAAATTAGGTGCCACTTAAGATGGTCTTAGATAAGTCTACAGCTGGCTCACAGCCATGTCTGACTTGAAAAGCACCAAGAAATTTAGCTGTTAATAGAAACAGGTCTATTCAGTGCAAGACCAGCAGGGTGAAGTCATAACATCGACTTTCTCAAAGGTAGCTCTGGTTCTGTTGGATATACTAGGGAGGAGAAGATTCCTTGGCACTTAAGTGGATTGGTTTTGGAAGGAAATGTGATGCTCTCACTTGGCTTTTAGTTGTCTTAGTTAATATTTATTTATGTAGCACTATCCACGTACTGGATACTTTACTAGACTTTCTTAGGTAAAGATGTGTTACTGCTCAAGGAATGTGTTTGTTATAAATTTCTACCCCAAAGAAGAGAAGGGAGGAATTGTAGGGGCAAAAGTAATGAGAAGATAATGTGTAAATACAATTCATTTGTTCAGATGTGTACTTTCAAATAGGGATTGTGAAACAACAGGTAAGTTCTTTTTAAAAATTACAGCTTAATTTATTGTGTTGCTAGTAAACTGTAGTACCAAAGGATTGGGTGTGGAAATGCTTTTCTTTCCTGTTCCTTTTCTCTCTCCTATAGGACGAAAGCCACTCTGAGTGGGTGTCCTGTGTACGCTTCTCCCCCAACAGCAGCAACCCCATCATTGTTTCCTGTGGCTGGGACAAGTTGGTCAAGGTGAGGGGAATCAGGGTCTGGGATCTGCAGCCCCTGCCTCTTTTATTTGGAGGACCCCCATCACAAAAGAGATTCCTTGCAGGTTTATGAACAACCTAGAATCTCTTCATTCCCTTTCATCTGTTATATGTCAGGGAAGGGAGGCTGGAGACAAGCGGGTGGGAGCACTATGACCTTATAAATCCATCAGATCTGCCGAAGAGGTACTCTTGAAGGAAGCAAAAATTTAAAAATAGTAGCATGTCCTGTTATCCTCCAGCAGTAAATGTTTACAGACTCCCCTTTTTGGTTATCTTAAGTAGATTTGAATCTTTTTTGCAGGCTGAGATTCTTTTCACTTGCAGGTTATCTTAGAAGACTTTGCTACATTTTTTTTTCATAAAGACATAAGCATACAGTAGTGCATCTCTGAAATACTTTTTCTACTGATGGGTACTGACTGCATGCCTGCAATCTACCACTCACACATCCCCTTCAGCTCCTTATATGGGTTTCCTCCATCTTGTAGGTATGGAACTTGGCCAATTGCAAGCTGAAGACTAACCACATTGGGCACACTGGCTACCTGAACACAGTGACTGTCTCTCCTGATGGGTCACTGTGTGCTTCTGGTGGCAAGGTAAGTCTGGCAATTTAAAACACAGCCTTGTGGTTTTCATTTTCTGTTTTCCAGCTTATAAAATTGGGAATTCTAATGAAAGTTAGCTAGGCAGATGCCTTCTGCAGAGAAAAAGAATCTGGCTAAAACTAACAGCCTGCCCCTGTTTGACTCAGGATATGTAAGGGGAAAGTACTCCTCCCAGTATCTTTTAATTGCACCATTAGAGAGTAGATGCCTGCAATTAGTGGCTCCGAAGCTGACTCTCTAAGGAGAGAGATTTAGCTCTTCAGCTGGGCCAATTCGTTTGTTTCCCCTCCTTAAGGTAAGAAGAATCCTCACTGGAGCAGCTCAGGTTTTCACCATATTTTAATTTCTGTAGCTAATGTTTTTTATGTGGTCATGTTCTTAGAATGAGCAATGAGGGATCAAAACCAGTTTCTTAGGAAATCCCATTTTGGTGATGGTTTTCCTAGAAAGACTGGAAAGGGATATTTGAAGTATACAGTACCTTGTCTTAAAAGGTCAGGAGCAAGGCTTGAGTTTAGTGGCTTGTAGCTCTCTGTGCCGTTTCTTCATCTTAGCTTTTTTCCTGGCGGGTGACATTCTTTCCATCCCTATTGGTTACAGGAAGTCTGGCTCAGCTATGATGAAACACACGAGCGCCATCTGACTTTATCCCCGTGCAGATAAAACTCACACTCTGTTTCTGAGCTGTCCAAAGTTTATATGGGAGGTCTCCTTCCTCCCCCCACAACACTTTGGAGAAAGTAATTTATCTCATTAAATTGAAGGATAGGGTATGACTTAATTAAGCGTTCTGAAGGGAAGGTAGATCCACAATTAAGTATGTTAGCTTATGGTATAATAGCTTGTGATATATTCATTTTTATTATGTGGCCAATTGAGACGTTCATCTGGCATTAAAAATGGATCTGTACGGTGACATTCATATTCAACCTGCTCACTTGGAAACTGGATGCAGTAGAGCGGAAGAGTGTGCTGGCCAGAAATAGACCTGGTGTTGAAGGGAATCCCTCAAGGGGTGTTGTATTACGAAGGGGGATTATGTAGTGTGTTAATACAGGTTTATTTTTGAGCTTTAAATGGAGAATATGTTAAATTTTGGAGAAGTACTTGAAAGTTTGCAACTTTATAAAGAAGGAAGAAGAACGAATGGCTAAAACGGACTCTATCAATTGACTTCTTTCTCCATTCTAGGATGGGCAGGCAATGTTGTGGGACTTGAACGAAGGCAAGCACCTGTACACGCTGGATGGTGGGGACATCATCAACGCCTTATGCTTCAGCCCAAACCGCTACTGGCTGTGTGCTGCCACAGGCCCCAGCATCAAGATATGGGTATGCTGAAATAGCCGATGTGTTCTAAGTGCTGTGCAAAGAAGAACAGTTAAGACAACCCCTGCCCACGGGCTCAGAGTAATAACTGACACAGAAGGACCAAAAAAAAAAAAAAAGCTTTGGAGCATTAATTTTAAAGAGTTCCTTCTGGCACTAGATACTGCTGCTCAGAGAGGTATCTGTGCCTCTCTTTGATGTCTGTTGGCTTTTGATATTTGTCATGCCAGTTCTAGGAGTGGTGTAAATTGTGTCTCAGGCTTACAGATTGGACACTAAGTGGAGACAACTAGAGAAGAACGGGAAGGAAGGATCATCAGAGGACAAGGGCATACCAGAATAGATACTTAATTTTTGCTGATGATGGAGAGAGCCATCTTTTGAGTTAGCATTGTATGCTCCTGACATATCTGTGTAGGTTTGCTGTGATTTCAGGAGCTTAAGGGCAAGGGGATGTATTTATGCTGTGATGAAACACAGAATGCCATCTGACATTACTTCCCATGTGGAAAACCAGAGGCTGTTTCTGAGCCTGTTGCCCTCAGTATAGTTGGAGATTGAGGAAAAGTCATGGTGATCTCTCTTTGATCTCTGTTTCCAATCTTACTTTCTGACAGGATCTAGAAGGTAAAATCATTGTGGATGAGCTCAAACAGGAAGTGATCACCACCAGCAGCAAGGCAGAACCCCCTCAGTGCACCTCATTGGCCTGGTCTGCTGATGGACAGGTAAGATAGGAGAATCCCAGCGGCCTCTAGGGAATCATGTAAGTGGCCTTCTCCATTAGGAGGGCAGGAGGCTTGACCAGTGGCTGGACTTTTGAGCGGGGAACTTGCACATAGAGATTTTGCGGCATGGTTCACTTTGAAGGGAAATCATTTAGGGAAGGGGTGTTAGTAGGGATGAAAATCCCATGTGCCTGGTCCCTGAATTCCTAAATCACTGGCATGTTTTCAGTGATTTATTTTTGTATACTATGGTAAGTAAATAAAATCAGTTGCCTTACCGAGCAAGAATAGAACCCCTGAGCATACTTGCTCCTACTTACATGGTATACAAAATATTTAAATACGTTACCGCATTTGGGCTAGCGGCCGTTCAGAGCGCTTTAGTTACAGTGCTTTGTCTTACGGCTGGGAGTTGTGGATGGCAGGAATAGTTGGGAGTGCTACCAGCATTCAGCTGTTGGTATAGATGGTGGGCAATTTTTGTGTGTTTCACCTAGTTCTGGGTGTGCAGGTTTCAAGGGCTGAGTGGGGGAGAGAGAACTTCAAGAAACAGCTTCAACACCATTTAGCATCCCGCCCGCTTACCCTTCGGTTCACATTGCTTTTTTCTCTCCTTGTCCTTTCAGACTTTGTTTGCTGGCTACACAGATAACCTGGTTCGTGTCTGGCAGGTCACTATCGGGACCAGATGAGAGAGTACAGTCGTTGACTCACAAGGCACAAGCTTTTCATTATGTACAAATAATTCAATTAAAAAAGAAACAAGGATTTGAGTGCTGGAAGTGACCTGTGCATTTTATGGGGAACTTAACATCCAATTTCTTTTTCTTCTTCTTCCCTCCAGAGGTAGTTTTTTTGGCTGACCCTCGTCGTATTTTGGAAGATCTGAAGGACTAAGTTAGGGACAGATCATCATGGAGAAAATGCATGTGTTCCCTTAGAGTTGACACTGACTTGATGGCACATAATCGATCGCTGTATTAATGTTCGTTTGGATGAGGCTTTGTATTTACCATTGTGGGTGTCCTGAGGGGCGTGAATGGTGAAACAAACCCTGCCAGGCAAGCTCTGCCCATTTTGTACATGCATTGTGGTGTCTCACACACATACAAAAAGGGTGACACTTGTGTCAAGATAATCATTTTGACATTTTGATGGAACCATCAGATCCTGCGGACACCTCTATTCCCTGTTCTTTTCAGTTAGCGAGACAGCACTTGAGTCTTGTACTGTCCAAGCTAACGTGAAAAGTTCAGCAAAACAAGTGAATGTGGGTAGCAGCAGTTTGAACAGGGCAAAGGCCCTGTTTAGAGATTAGTAGGAAAGGTACCACAAATGATGGATGTAGCCTTGACTTTTCTAAAAAAAGTCACGGTCCCACATTTTCAGTGCTTTTAAGAACAGCTACAAGCTGAGAAGATATATGCTAAGGGATTAGATCAGTGTTTCTCAACCTTGGCAGCTGTAAGATGAATGGACTTCAATTTCCAGAATTCCCCAGCCTGCAGGGAATTCTGGGAGTTCAAGTCCACTCATCTTACAGCTGCCAAGGTTGAGAAACACTGGCTTAGATGCATTTTCTCTCCAAGGTGTTTTATTTCACTGAGCAGAGGAGGGCCTCCTACAATAACTGCTACTCCTGCCTGCTCTGCTAAACACAACTAAAGTCTTCTGCTGAAAGAGGAGAAGCTTTGCTCTTAGAGCAGACATTGCTCAGGGCTCCAAGCTTTCCTCACTTCTCCCCACAGTAGCTGAGACCCAGTTAGGTGAAACCTAGTTAACCTTGGGTGATCTCAGAAAGCTAATTTGGGCTGGACCTGGTAAGTACCAGAATGGTACAAGGTGGTAGGCTAGAATGGGAAGTTGAAAAAACATTGCAGAAGGCAGCCACAGCAAATCTTGTGTATTAACACGACAATTCTGCAACTGACTAAAGGCATCAATAATCAGGCTTGGCTAGAAGGAGTCTACCTTCATAGTAGCTGGAGAGGATGCAGAGATCATTTGGTATGGGATTTCCTTCCTTTCCCCATCATATTCTGTAGCTGCCATCAGAGACCCTGGCTGCAACCGTGGGATGGAGCCCAAATGAACTAAGCAGTCGGTCCTTGCTGCCCTGGAGCCAGGCTTGTAGACTCTTCCCGTGCAGGCGGTTTCTCTAAGGAAAAATGGGAACTGGAATGTTGGCTGCTCACCGTGGTGCTGTCTGGTGTCCGCCCCGATGCAGTGCACTCCCATGAGAGTAGCGTGCAAGTTTACTAGTCCCAGACAAGAGTGTGGGACTTGGGTGGGTGTGTGTGGGTGTGTGAATGTGAGAGAGGAATCCAGGAGCAGCTCTGATCCATTCTGAGGGAGAGCCAGGCCCTGGTTCTTAAAAGAGGACACACACTATCATGAAATAAAGTATTCATTTTCAATTTTGCAAGCTGGACAAAATACCCCTCTAGAAGGGCTGCTGAGGCAGCACATCCTCTTAAAGGCTGCTTCAAGGGCTTCCTGAGGTGGTCTCTATACACGCAGAGGGAACACTTCCACTGAAATCTGTGAAGCAAAGTCTATGCAGGCAGCCTAGGAGCAACTGCTGAAATTTTCCAGATACGCTGGTCTCAATACTTAAAGGGAGGATAATTCCCAATCTCCCAATCTTCATAGTTAACAAGAATCAGGGCTTTGCATATAGCGCGATGTTACCTCCCATCCACACGTAAAAAGGCTTCTGCGTGATGATTCCCAAAACCACCTCCAGTGCGTTGCTTCCCTGTCTGGGACCCCTGCTTGGTTCCACCCATTTTTAGCCTTTATGGCTCATGGCTGGTTTATGTACATGGCTGTACTGGTTTTACCCCCCTTTTGTCCTAAGTGTACTGCAAACCTCCGTTAGAAAAAGTAACACAAGCGAGACATAAACAAAACCACTAAGATGTTCTTAGCTAGAACTGACAAATAGAGGCTGCCCCATTCTCTCTCACTGATCCCCAGCCAACTACTGTAGATTGCAAAACTTCTGGTGGGAGTCATCTAAGTAGATCTGGGAATGCATTTTGCTAAGCTTCAGTCTCGTTGCTTTGGCTGGACTAGCTCTTGGATCTTTTCTAAGCTTCAGTCTTGCTGCTTTGGCTGGACTAACTCTTGGATCTTACTTTTTGTGAGGCCTTTCTGCATCCAACTTTCTGCAGGTGGGCCCTTCAATAGATTGTCAAGCCATAATTTTTCAGCACTGTATTTTCCTCCAGTTAGAACAGCTTTAGGAGGATTCTCTCTACCACCATTGGAAAACAGAGTATTGGAATTAACTGCAATGCAGCCAACAAAGGACATTAGCACTTTACATGCTTTGTCTTATTGCCTTTGTTATGGTTTGGCTTCTGATTCTTTTTTCTTTTCACTTACTGAGTTCTCTGCACTTATATGAAACTGGGAAGGTGGGTCCTCTTTCCGCATAGAAGCAAGTGGGAGGAAGAACGCACTGTTGGCTGCTCTCTCCGTTACAATACAGAAAAGGACCTTCATGGTAAATCCATGTCCCAATTGTTTTTTTTTTAAAGCATCTAATGGTAATGTGAATAATTTGCAACCGTAGAGTATGAGTTTAGAACTTAATATACTGTCCAGCATATCAAAACATTTTATGGTTTTCATTAAAGAGATGTTTTACTCACTGCAGTTGAAAATGACTTGTCCTTGTCTGGGATCTGCCCAGCAAGTGAACAATCAGACTTGTTGCTGGGACTCAGCACTACCCAGTAGGATTATTAACAAGATTCACTTTCACAGCATTCTACTCTAGACCTTAGGCTTGGTTTTAACTAAAAGCACTGGATTGTGTAGTCCTTCCAGAAGAATATTCTAATTCTCCATATTGTTAAAAAGCAACTAAACCATTTTTGTCATTAAATAAACAAGTATTTCAAAGAATCTTGTTTTTCAACATTCAAATAAACCATAACAGCAAAGCATTTAACATGTCATTTATTACTTTATTTATCTCTCAACTTTTTCCCCAAAAAACTAGACCTCCTTTTAATTTTTTTTAGCGAAAAATAGTTCAGAAGCAGCTCTGTCAAGCCAAAAAGAATTTTAAAAACCACATATAGCTGGAATAGCTAAAGCCTCCAGAGGTTCAAGAAGACTCCACAGTGAAGGCTAAAACTAGTGAGTGACTAAAATAAGTTATTTAAAGCAGATGGTGGGAAGACAGAAAGAGGGAATGAGTAAGACAGTAATAATGAAATCTTAGCATCTGGTGGGATAGCACACACATCTACAATCATGACTCTACACTGACATTGAACAGCTCAACAGCACGTGGTACTGTCATTGCTCCAAATGGCCAGCATATCACGTTTTAGAATAGATAAATGGCAGAAGAGATGGGAATAACATCAAAGATTAGGAGACATTTCAACTGGGACATCACATGGAACCAGTGTAAAGCAGTGGGACAGAACTTGCAATTCTATATTTTTTTAAATTGGATATTAGTAAATTGCAAAAAAACAGGAATTCAGAATACAGGCATTGGAGCAATTAAAGAAGAAATCATAGCATTGGGAACCTGCCAAAATATTTCTGTATCATTACTTTAAAATGAAGGGCTATTGTGAGGGCTGCAGGAATCTGGGATCTGGTGATAGCAATACAGAAACTGGGGCTAATCGTTTTCCAGATGTTGCTGAACCACAACTCCTGTATCCCACAACATAGGCTGTGATTGCTGGGGTTCTTGGAAGCTGTCTTCAGTAACACATGGAGGGCCACATATTCCTCATCCGTACTTAAAGCATGGACTTACATCCGACCCCAAGAACATAGTGGAACAGTCATCTCTTGACCAGCAAAATTCAAAAAAGAATAAAAAAGTTACCACACACAGGCCTAAATTTTGTTGTCTTGAATGCCTGACTAGGTAGATTTAGGTGTCTTCAGGGAAGTGAAGAACAAGTCTTGGATTGCAAAGCCCAAGCCCAGAAGCCATGGCAGATCCCACCAACCTTACAACTGAAAGACTGCATGCTCAATAAGGTCTAATTTCTCTTCTGAGATATTAAAGATCAAGGACTCCAATATCTAAAGACGAGAAAAGTATAATTGGCTGACATGTGATTATCCCCCAAAGGTATAAGGAGAGAGAGCACAATTTTTTTGCTAAGATGGATCTGGGCCATAAGAGAAATAAAATCCGATCCATGACCTGGTCAAGCACCAGAGAAGTAGAACTGTGCAAAACTGGATTCACAGAAGGGAAGAATCCCTGTCAAAAGGAATCCAAAATAAGAGCTAGATAAGGAATCCACCAAAGTCCAAGGGTGGTGAGAAACTCTTATCAGGCATAATTAGGTGGGATGGGAGGACTATGATGAAGCAGAGGCCTCAAGGGATAAATTCAGGTATGTGCAGCAGCCGCAATGGCATCAATTGCAGATTTTGATGCGGGTTCCCTTAGAAAGAATGCGGAAAAAGGGGAAGATGCGCTCGCGGAATGAAGCATTGAAGGTGTGAATATGAGCCATGCTTTCAGCATTGTAGAATCCTAGCTGGCCTCGTTCATAGTCCAGGTAGACACAAAAGCGCCGTAATTTCTCAGCTGGAGAGAGGGATGTCTGCTCAGTGGTAGTCAAAGCCTGGTACTTCTTACCATTGGTTCCTACACACCAGATCTCCCGTTTCTGGTGGGAACCACTGCTGGATTTCTCTTTTCGTCGGGCCGATTCGCGGGCTGCCCCTACAGCCCACCCTCGCCGGCCACCCACCTCCACTTCCCAGTAGTGGCGACCATAAGTAAAGCCCTGCAAGGCCAACACACAGTAGTCAGAGTCGAAGCGTTTGGGGTTATCTGGCAGATCCCGCCAGCGTTCCCCAAGTCGGACGCTGCGGCAATCTGAGGAAAGTGTGAGTCGTGGATGAGCTGTTTCAGGATCCAGAGTCAATTCAGCTGTAAGAGAAAAAGAGCAAAACAATATAAATAGGAGGCAAAACATTTGTTCTCTGTATCAGTGTTTCTCAACACTGGCAGCTTGAAGATGTGTGGACCAACTCCCATGCTGGCTGGGGAATTCTGGGAGTTGAAGACCATACATCTTCAAGTTGACAAAGTTGAGAAACACTACTCTGTATAGATAGAACTCAGCTCAGGTATCATTCAGATTCATTGTCTGCCCGCCCAAACAGTTCTGGGCAGGTAAGGCATATATTATAATGTATTAGTAAGGCACGTGTGTGTGTGTGTGTGTGTGTGCGTGCGTGTGTGCGTGTGTATCCATCCATCCATCCATCCATCCATCCATCCATCCATCCATCCATCGGAAGACACATACCACCCATAGGGGTGAGAGGGGAATTTTATAATTTGAAAGTAAATTTGGTTCATGACAGAAAAGGCACTATGTCAGTCTTTTAATACTACACAGAATTTCTACAGTGCTGT